CAGGCAAGTGTCAGACATTCTTGAAAATAAGTTTATGTGCATGTAAAAGCACATGTAGACACGCCCTATGTGACAGACATTTGACTGGAACACTGGTATCATAGGAGATAACACTGAAACTGTAGACAGTGATGATGATGTTGAAGATGGGTTATCAGAATCCTGTATGTTTCATAGATTTCATAGATTTCATAGACATTAGAGCTGGAAGGGACCTCGGAAGATCATTGAGTCCAGCCCCCTGCCCAAAGGGCAGGAAGTCAGCTGGGGTCATAGGATCCCAGCAAGATAAGCATCCAGTTTGGTGGGGAAGGGATCAGGGGGGGCTCAGGGCACAGGCAGGGAAGGGCTAGGGGAGCAAGTAGGGCCAGTGGGGGTCCCCCCCATGGTCCCCTCCTCCAGCCCCTCAACCCCTTACTTACCAGCACTGGAGCCCTGCTGCTGGCACACTGCCTGCCCTGCATGGGTGGAGGGTAGGGGGGCAGGCAGGGGAGGGGGCCGGGTGGGGAAGGAATCGGGGGACTGGAGGAGTGGGTAGGGGATGGGGCCAGGTAGGGAATTTTTGCTCCATTTTTTTTGCTCCCTGGATATCCAGGGTTCTAATTTTATCCCCGCGCTGCAAACTTGCAGTGGGGGGAACCTTTTTCCATTCCGCACATGTCTCTTGCAGCATCTCAAAGGGGTTTGAGACCCTGCAAGAAGCACGTACGGGCTTGGCTGGATGTGCCCATAAGGTTTTAAGAAAAGGATTTGGTGCTCATTGCTTCATGTTTTCCATGTTCTACAATGGTGTTATAGAAGAGTGCACAATTTATTTAAAAACACTACTTGATCTCATTATATAGAATTTTAAAGTCTTTGACTTAGAAAGCTAGTAACTAAAATGCAATATACATGAACTATAATCATATTATCTGGTTGAATGTCAACATTATTTTTGATATATCAGATATAAGTGTAACTCCTAGTTCTGAAATAATTTAATTTCTAAAAATTCAAAGTAGCTATTTTGAAACCTGACTAGATTAGATATTCATATTAGCATAAGATACTACATTCACATACTTCGCCTGACGAAGGGTTTTTGAACCCGAAAGCTTGCTTAATAACTATTCTCCAACCATTTGGGTTGGTCTAATAAAAGATATCAAATTCACCCAAGGAACCTTGTCTGCCTATGTCCTTAGACCAACATGGCTACAACCTAAACCCCTGCTTCCATCAATTACTATCCTCTGGGTCCGACCACGGAGCCAATTTTCCAGCCAGTGGATCGTGTTGAGGATGGATCTCCTGAACAAAAGAAGTCAATGCAGTCACTATACTACTGCTCATTTAGTATTACTCATTGCACGCAATACTACTTCAGCAGTGAAAATGTAAAAGGAAGATCTACCTATTTCAGCCATTGTTTTATATCACAACAGCATTAAAAATGTGATAGTTCCATAAAGTAACAACTATATTTTTACTCAAAAATTTTTATGAGAATTCAAGTAGTCTAGAAGTCTACCTAAAAAATATGGACAAGGAAGACAGGCAGTCCTTAAGAAAGAAGTATGAAGTAAGAAAGTTTGCTAACCTGGAGATCCTGCATGTTCAGACGTATTCCATTCATAATCTTCAAAACAGCTGCCTCCTGAAAGGGAGCACTTTTCGTGATGTTTCATTCTGGCAACCAGGCCTTGAATTTCTTTGTTGCACTATAGGCAGTCCTCGACTTAGGACTTTTCGAGGTACGACATACAGCACTTACAACCTTTATAAATTGACACCATGTTTGGAGGTTTTGACACAGGTTTTGAATTTACGACGCTGGATACAGCTGCATCCAGCTGGTAAGTCTTAAAGGGGAGGGAGGAGGGAAGGGGCATGGGGGTGCAGATCAACACCCCCGCAGCAAAGCAGGGATTTGGGGCTGGAGCTGGGGCTAGGACAGGGGCTGGGGCAAGCAGTGCCCAGCTGGGGCAAAGGGGCGTGGGATGAAGGCACGGCTTGTCCAAGGGGTGCGGGGGTGGGCACTGCTCCTGCCACTCATCCAGGAGGGCATAGGGAGGGGTGCCTCCGGATCTGTGTGGGGCAGGCAGGGCCGGGGCTGCACTGCACTGCGCTCGGTGGGCATGGTAGCACTGGGAGTGGGGGCTATGTCCTGCCACTGCTTGCCCAGCTGGGGTGGGGTGGGTGTGGGACAGAGCCACTGTGCTGCTTCCAGATGAGCAGCGCACAGTGGCATGAGCCACCCCACCGTACCTCCCAGATGAGCCACGGCTCTATCCCACACCTGCCTCACCCCAGCTGGGCAAGCAGTGGGAGACATGGGCGGGGGGGAAGCATGTGCCTCCAGATTGGGCCAGGGAGGGCGATGGAGCAGAGGCTATGGCGGGGGGGCTGCAGCCACCCAAAAATTTGCCATAGCCCCTGCTGCCCACCCGGAGGGCAGCATGGTGCAGCCCCAGCCTCACCTGCCCCATGCATATCCAGAGGCACATGCCCCCACCCCCCATCCCTGTGCCCTCCTGGACGAGTGGTGGGAGCAGAGGCAGGAGCCACCACATGAGCAGCTCCCACCAGTGGCACGCAGAGGCAGGACTCACCCCCATGCACACCCCTCGGACGAGCTGCAGTATTAATACCCATTCAATGGGACAAGGTTGTCCTGATGGAAGCATTATGTGGGGTTGCCTCTGCCACCCTCAGGAGTTAACTATCCCTATAGAGACTTCCAAAGTCAATTTCATAAATCAGGTGTGTTTTTAGAATTAATTTTCAAACCAGATAACTTTCTGGCTTAATTCATAAGCCACGAAGACTGTAGTCGAGTCCAAAAGATGTACTCTAATTCATCTGTGAACCCCAAGTCCGGCACCCTAATCACTTCAACTTCAATTGCAATCGATTATGAGTAGAAGAGCCGAATCCACTTGGGTAATTTTCTTCACAGATTTTGTCAATATCAATATCAATTATATCTTCAAATCAATTTATATGTACATATAAATCAAATACGTTAGCCTCTTATGATAGAGCTGGGCTACTAAATTAAAATATAAACAAATAATCTTCTGACCTCTCAAAGTATTGCAATGTATGATCAGTCACCTGAGGTTTTTGAAGGGAGAGGGAAGCCAAAAGAAAAAGAAAAGAAAGGTGTGACCCCAGCACTCACAGTTCTGCACAAAGTGGGATGCCCAACTTATGTGCCCCTTACACACTCCAGTTGGCATGCAAGGTCCAACACTCACCTCGGCCTTCCCCTCCAAAGGCCTTTGGGGTTAAGAACCCTCTGGGTTCTTCATCTGTAGTTCCAGGTGCACTCTCTCTGTGCCTGTTCTGGGTTCGCTGCTCTAACGGAGCTGTGGGGCTCTCAGGTCTGCCTATGCTCAGTTCTGTCGCTTCTCAGATCTGATGGTCCAGGTGCAGTTTTATGACATCACTCCCTGCATGCCCGCCGATGCGCAAGGAGCATGCACTCTTAAAATGGGGCTGCAGCTGTGTACACTGCTCCATTTCATGGGAGCCTGCACCTGCAGGTAATTTACGCCTGTCACCAGCACTTACCAGGCATGGGTTGCATTTACCTGCAAGATCACGCACCATACAATTGAGGAGATCCAGCTGGCATGTGGATGGGGTGTAAGGGAGAAGGAGCCCCAAGGAACACTCATAGTGACAGCATACTCAAAGACAGTGCATCACCTATTTTTTTAAACCTCCCTTTTTTTTTCTTTCTATCAAGATATGACAGGCAAGTAGAGGGAGATCCCCTGAGGGAAGATGCGCGAGGTATCAGGCTGTTAGTGCAGTAAGATCACAGAGCTTACACAGAGCAGTCAAAGCTGGCCTGTCATCTGCTTCACCAGCATAAGCAGGTACAAATTTCTTGAAACTTTGCACTTTTAGAGGGAGGTGAGGGTTTGACTCTGTGTACAAAAACTTGCAAAGAGACAATAAGCTGATGGGTAGGTTTTCAGGTCTGTTATCTCTTATCTCATATACTGCTGTTAACAAGGATGTTATCTCTGGAGACACAAATCCACAGTTTGAGAACTGAAACTAAGCATCACAGAGATGCTTAATGGGATCTTCCAGACAGAGCGCTGAGTCCCATTGGATAGAGTGGTTTTCTTTAATCTTTACAAATCTATACAGGAGGCTCTGGGAGCCCCATAAAATTGGGCCCCTAATATAGTCCATGGCCTGTTGTGACCTATTTATAAAAAAATTCTAAAAAGGTTACATGAATATATTGTCTCAAGTAGTATATAATTAGAAGTTATAATCCCTATTCCATGATGATATCTTTGAGCACTAACATATCTTAAATTAAAACTATCTTTATATAGTTTTATTATTTTAAAAAAGCATTTTAACAAAAAAAATCAAAAAATAAGATTCATTTTTTTAATCCATTTTTTTTATTTAAAAAAATCATTGATTTTTATCTACTTTGTATATACTTAAGTTAAAATTACCACACCAGTGTTAAGGTTTTTAGGTAGAACTAAGGACAGCGTGCAAAGCTGTGAAATAGAAGAGAGATATTACCAGAAATGGCTAACAAAAGATTGCAGAAGAGAGGATAGCTTGATTAATGGAACATCAAAACCATTAAAAAAGGAGAGAGGGTCATTAATGTGGAATGAAGAGGTATTATCAGGAGCCAGGTAGATTATAATGAGCTGTGAAGTCAATTGCCCCCCTCCTCCCCACCCCCAGCACTGCCTGAGTAGAAATGCCGCTGCGCCTCCCAGGCAGTTGCTTTTAAAGTTTGGGGAGAGCAGGAATCAAAGTGGGGGGTGCAACTGAATGACTGCACTCCATCTGGATTTGCCCCTGCTAGCTATCATAGTCCTATTTTTTGAACCAGTGTACTGGTTTGCCTTTCTCAGCCTTCAGGACACTTATTTCACATCATCTTTGTGCTTTCCAACAAAAAATACCTCAACTTTGTTGGAGACCAGGATCATTACAGATACAACGTCCTTCCATTCAGCCTCTTGATGGCGCTGAGAGTCTTTGCCAAAGTTTTTGTGGTGGTGGCAGTTCACCTTGGCATGAACAATATTGCTACCTACCTTTACTTAGATGGCTGGCTGGTGACGGGCAGTTTTTCCAAAGGAGGTTCTTCCAAACCTCCACATAACCCTGCATTTTTTGCACACCCTATGCATAAAGTTGAACACCCGGAAGTTTAATTTAGTCATGGCTCATCAGCTAAAATTTGTTAAGGCCATCTGGGCCTCTGTCACCCAAATCTTACTTGCTACAAAACTGATTCTAGTCCTTGCTGGGTATCATTGTGCAGGTGGTCATCACCTTCATCAACTTGATGATAATGATCAGAATCTCCCTATCCATCCTGAGTCACATTGCCCTCCTACACCTGGCTGATGCCATCTGCCAGACTAGACCTTATATCAGGGGTGGGCAAAATGGCAGATCTGGCAGGCAGCCAGACTCCATTTCTCAGCAGCTCCTGCTGTGTCACTGTGGCTGGTTTCCATGGAGATCCCAGTAGTGGTGCCATGAATGCACGGGGCTGGGGTTTCCATGGAGAATGGAATAGAACACACATGATCCACGTGCAAAATGTAGATTCTTGAACCTCATGCTTACCTGCCACCTAGCCCTGGAGATATTTCAGTTTTCATGTTAAAATTCTAGAGATGCATAAAGTTCTGCTTCTGAACATCCCCCAAAATACCTAGCCACTGCTTTCCTTCAAAATGTGAGTACTGCTGAATAGGGTCTCTCATCAAATAGCTCACTTGCTGGCTCATTAATCCAGGATGTGGAAGATGCAAACTCTTATATCCCCCTCTGTACCTGAGGGAATTCAGATTCACATCTCCCACCTCCGAGCAGAGGACTGGTCTGACCAGCCTGCTGTCAACTGTTTTGGGATGAAGACTCTCCACTTCTCTTGTTGAAGCAGTTTCATTTTGTAAGGAAGAATTAGATTAATTTGGCCAGAGGGTGGGAATAAACAAGAAATCCTCTCTCTAGTCTAGTGGCTAGGATGCTCAGCTGGGATGAGGGCACTCCGGTTGCTCCTCTAATTATTGTTTCTATGTTTTTAATCAATAAGTATTTCATATAAAGTGTTCCCAATGGTAGGGTGTAGCAGGCCACCTGGCTAGCCTGGCATTGCCAGGCTCAAATCAGTCCTTGAACCCTTGAATTTACCCCCTTAATCTGGTCCCAGCCATGGTCTTTCTCTAGGCTCTGCAGCACAAGTGATAATGCTCTGGGTTCTTCTGCACCACAGAGCTTGGGAGAAAATATAAATGGTCCACAATGAACACCAACAAGCATGGGTTAGTTCCCACCCTGTCCTCTCTCTCCTTCCTTGGAGAGAGCTGCCTTTCCACGCAAACAATTCCCCCTCTAGGTCCTCTCTCTCTTCCTCTTCCTGTCCCCTTTTATTTCTGGGTCAGCCACTCAGCTTCCTCTCATTTACTGATTGACTGAACCAGCTCCCCTTAGGTGGGCAGCCTGTTACTGGTTGGCTAATTGATCCAGGCTACAAGCCTGCAGTCTGTTACATTGGGCCTGTACATTCCTGAATGAGACAGATCTATTCACCAAGAAATCATTGAATCAACAAAAGGTGATGCTGTCTTGGACCTGATTTTGCCACGTACAGTAAACTGGCTAATTACATTAAAATGGAAAAAGTACTTTTTTACATAATGCTGATAACTTGTGAAATTCATTGGCACAGGAGAGTGTGGAGGCAGATAGCATAGGCAGATTCAAAAAGGGACTGGATAAATTCATGGATGATGGATCTAGTAATGGCTATTGAACAGAAAGATTAGAGATGGCACCTCTAAACCATCAGGCCCCCAGTGCTGCCTGTGGGTCTCACAGTGACTCATAGGCAGCATGCTGGGCATACCGGATGGTCCCAAATGCTGCATGCAGTGTTTGCTTCAGCTTGCATCCCAGAACTGTGGAGCAGCTTCTGTATTCAGCATAACCTCAGAGCAGCCATGTAATGTATGCAGCGGTGGCTGTGGCTCCAGAACTGTACAGTGTAGCCCTGCAGTGGCTGGAGCAGCCCTGACTGCCTGAGGCACCCACTCCAGCCACTCCATGACACATGCTGAATCTGGAATCGGGGGCTGGTCTGTGAATCCAGTCCAACTCACAAATTGGCCCTGCCCCAATCATGCAGCCTGTGGGGCCAAATGAGTTTGACACCTCTTCTCTATAGTATCTACTCCTAACACTGTCAGAGACAGGGTACTGGGCTATTGGACCATTGGCCTGACCTAGCATGGAACTTCTTATGTAAATTCATGTTTGGAATTATTAACTACTATGGTTTAATTCATTATAGTTCCAACTCCCCAACAGGGCTTCCCGCTTAATCAATTCCTGATAATTGGTCACAACTGGATAATTCATCGTTATTTACCTTCCCCTCGGCATGGTGAATTAACCAGTGCTTACTGCAATGAACGGATTATAAAAACCCTTTTTCTTCTTCTTCTCCTCTTGTTCTTGTTGTAAACTAGATGTTTTTTCAAAATCATGCGCAAGCAATGGCACTTTCTGCAGCCAGGTCCTCCTTTATACAGGTCTCACCAAAGAGCTGGCAGACAAACATGTGCTCCATATTAGTCTGCACTTTTGCATATATTGGGGTCATTAGAGTAGCCTCATTTGATCATTCATGCTTGTTTTTGATCTTCCAGTTTTGTGCACAGGCAATTCAGGCATCAACATGTTGGCCAGTCTAGATCACCCTTGTTTGAAGGTCATCCTGGGGTTCCAGATCCATTTCAGAGCACCTGATTCCATGTAATCTTTCCTCCCCTAACCTCATTCACACGCTATCAGCCGTGTCCAATGGTGCAACACTGGTCACAAAACTCTTTCACATTTTAAGCCTTTTAGTTACTTCTGTGTGACCACAGAGTGGATACCTGGAATCTTTGATCTGCTGTGATCTTTCTTTTTAACTCACTACCTTTCTTCTGATATCAGGTTGGTGCAATGCCAGCCAGTAAGTACAGGTTATCCTTTGGTGTTGGCTTTAGATATCTTGTTATTTTGTGACAGCTGTCATCTAGAACTGGTTCTATTTTCTTGGCATGAACTGATAGTTCCCATACTGGACATGCAGACTCTGCAGTGGAGTAACACAAGGCATTAGCAGTGGTTCATAATGTAGCTGGATTTACTCCCCACTTTGAGGTGACCAACTTTCCAAGTATGTTGTTGCAGGCACTGACTTTCCCTTTAGTCTTCTCTACATATGCTTTGAAGGTAAGCGTTCGGTCCAATGTAACCCCCAAGTGCACAGAGTTCAGGTAATTTGTCAGTGGGATTCCATCCCAGGTGATGTTTAATTTTCGCTTGGCTTCTCTATGGCATAGGTGAAAAGCTATAATCTGCATCTTGGCTGGGTTGACGCAAAGCTGCTGCTTACTGTAGTAAACTGAAAGGTTGCTCAGTGCACATGTCAGTCTGTTCCCAACAGTGGCAAAATCCTTCTCTTCTGATATGATGCATAGATCATCAGTATGCATGAAGCTCCTTGTATTATTTTGTATTAGTTGGTCATTGGTATACAGGTTAAAAAAGATCAATGTTAGCATGCTACCCAGTGGAAAGCCATTAAGTTGTCGTCTCCAGTGGCTCCTTTTGTTACACAGTTCTGTGTAAAAACATCTATTCTCCAAAAGAGATCAGATGGGCTGCACTGGGTGGTAGTCATGCATCATATTGTAGACTTTGGCAGATTTTTGGGGGCAGATTATGAAGTAGATACAAACTGTTTGAATCATGTTAACTGCAACTTTAAATGAACTGGAAGGGGAAAATTTTCTACCATTAGGAACCAAAACCAGTAGTAGGATTTGAACTCATGGGGTGCCTATACATAAGCTGGGAGGCTGCTCCAATGCCCTGTAATCACAGCGGATCGGAGCAGACTCAATTAATCAAGTCTGCTGGAGCATGGTAATTACTGTGCTCCAGCCAGCCTCCGCATCTCATGTATCAGTGTCCCCATGCTTCAAAATGGCAGCAGGGGTGCTTTAACTAAACTTCATTTGATGAGCTTTTTATAAATTGCCCCTGCCGCCATTTTGAAGTGTGGGGACAATGATACATGAGATACTTCGGGCACTTTAAATAGAGTGGCTCTCGGAGCCACTAGTGCCCCTCCCCCCTCCCCCACACTCCTGGAATGTGTAAAAACACCCATGAGTTTCCTATTCATCTTGCAGCTGTCAGTTGAGCTGATACACTTTGCTAGCATCTTGTTCACCAACTTTCTAGGCTGGAGAAAACAAGGAATAATTTCTCCCCTTTACAGAGACTTCCAGCTCAACAGAACTGAATAACCACAGAAAAGACCCTATTTACTACTGACCACTGAAAAACACATTTCGTCAAACACAATAAGCCATAGGCTTGTACTGTATGCAAGGAGCTCCTTACTATCTCCTTATGATATGCTTCCTGGAGCACATTGTAATTGTGAATGCAAGAGCTTCCCTAAACCTTAGAAAAGTGGTTCTCAACCTTTTTAGACTCAAGTCACCCCTCTAAAAATGCAGCTAGACCTAACCCTATACAAGGAAAAGCTACTTGATCTCAAGTTCAAACCAGTAGATGTGTAGAAGTTGCTTTCTTTGCCATTTAAAGTATTTTATTCCAGTGACTTAACAGAAGTGCAGAGCTTTACAACACTTTAAAAATGGGTACAGCACTTAACCGTTGTTAAATGAAGTATTACATTTGAAGTGCTGTACTTTACAGCACTTTAGCAACCTACAGAGCTTTAAATAACTTCTGCATGCTGGTCAAATTTCTGACCAGTGGAGAAGCCCCAGGAGGCTGCAGAGTACCCCTTGCCTCCTAGCCTGAAAGCTCAGAAACTACACCCTTCCTTCCCCACTGCTCCCTGACTAAACACTGCACTGCGCTGGGAAGAGCCTGGTGCAGCACCCAGCCCGCAGCTGCAGCCCACCCCTCCTACAGGTCTGGGGGCACACTCCCCCCCCCAAGCCCTCCTGGGGTGTGTGCAGCAGTGGGAGTTGATCCCCCTCCCTGCACCTCCTGGACAAGCTGTGCCCTG